TAATTATATATATATATATATATATATATTTATATATATCGGCCTAAAAGCTGAACCGTAATTTAAATACTTATTACTAGTGACACATAAAATTTCTCTATGTATATAGTCCAATGATTGAACTAGCTGCATCAGTTACTAATAATATACATGTAGATATTTACAGATTATTAATATATATATATATATAGACATTTACCGGAAAATAACTGAGATGATAAAGGTTACAGAAGGGACAGCATTCATTATAGCAGACGTAAATGATGCCGATGTGTATTGCATTCCCAGGTAGGCGAAGCCTTGATCAAGAATTGGCCTGGAATTAATCCAAAGTATATATATATATATCACATATAATTATAAAATACCTCCCACAAAAAAAAAAAGAAAAGAAAAGGAAAACAGGTAATTAAAAAAAAGCGTAGCTATATAGTCAATTAGGCAAGTGTCTAGTAACTATCAAAGCATCTACTTATTTGCATATAAGCAACGTTATAATATATATTTACTCTAGAAATCCGAGGAGCATTATCTGCAAGAAGACAGGAAGTGTCATCTTTGGTCTTGTTTTCCTGTAAATTAAACATATCCACATCAACAGATCAGACTCAGTAAAAAAGAATTTTTTTTGTTTTTTTGCTAATCAAAAGAATATTACTTTCTTTCATTCATTCTCTAGTATAAAAATATACAACAAATAATAATGAATCATATGCACGCGTTCACTTTTTCATATATATATATATATATATAATTGGTGAGACAGGATAATTAATATAATTTATCATATATTTGGTGTAAAATTATAACAACTAGGTCATTTTTTAAATTATTTTCAATAAATGACATATTTTAAAAGATTTAAGGTAAACTATTTGTATACGAAAAAAAATATAAGGTATTTTTACTGTAAATATGCTTCGTAAATGAATCATTTTATCGTAAATATTTTAAGATATACTATTTACTGTAGACTTATATTGTCATCCATATTATACGAACTACTTATAATATTTCTGAACTGTTAGATTTTCATGAGATATCGCCATTTTTATTTTTACGTGAAGGAATTTAAAGTAGTGCCCACCTGTCGAAAACGAAAGCGAAAGGAGCAAGAACTAGAGCCGCAATAGCGTTGCGATAGACAATGAGGACGTAGCGGCTCATGCCGTGGCTGAGAGTGGCCATGCTGACGATGTACGTGCCTGCTGCACCAAACTGCAAACCTACCATTAGCACATAAGGCTTTGCCCTATTGAACACTTTCACCAACTTTTCATGAGATGTTTGATTATCCGCCATTCTGATCTCCGCGTCGTGTGGAAGTTTGATAATTTGATATACCTGACGTTGAGTGTGAAAGACGTGAGAAACATGGCCTTATTTATAAATAGGGAATAAAGAAAGAAAGGAAAAAGAGAGACGGGAAAAAAAAAGAAAAAAGGAAAAAAAAAAAAAAAAGGTACTAGATAAAATACCCACTTCGAGAACGGGCTTATCTTGATAGTCTTTATACATAAAAGGACTGCTCCATAATATAAAGAATAGTGCTTGCTTTGGTCATTGTTCATCAACCTGCCTTGCTCAAGTATGTGGATTTTTTGTTTTGCTTTTTACTCGTTAGTGGGAGACCAAAGTGCCAAATTACACCAGTAGGGATTAGTTTATATATATATTGCTCTTTTATGGAATGAATTGAGGAAGAGATTACTATATATTTGCAATTATCCTTTGCTACATTACCACGTTATTTTGGGGTGTCATGAACCCGGTGGGTTCCGCATGCAAAATATAGATATAGGTCAATGGTTGGTGTCTTCATCAAAGTGCATTAAAAACTTGATCATATTGAAGCATCCTAACTATTTGGATACCATGTTTACGATTAATATGTCTATTTATTTATTGGAATGATATGATTATTGCTTATGATCCTAGGAAACTTTGAGATTCTGTGTCTTAATAATTGTTTTTGTGTGTTTATTAATTGTGTTAATAAATATAATACATACATATTTAATTGTAACATTTCAATAACTCAAAAAGATGAGATCGGCAACCGAGTCAGAATATCACCTTAAATACATAAAATCAATTGGATTATCCAACAGCTGAGTCACATATTTCACTATATTAAAAGATATATTTTTCCTTAGGATAATGGATGTGATCATTGTTCATATTTGATTATATATAATATATATCCAAAATGGGGGCAATATTCCAAATTAAGAAAAACAAACACCAATACTGACTTATATATGACTTCAAATTATAAGAAGACCACGACTTTAATAAATAACCGGTTCCACTAATAAACTCAATCAAATGAAATGTTTAAAGAAAATAGACACGTACTGAGTTTAAAAAATAGACACCCAAATAAGTACACTAAAAAATTAAATACACATGGTTCTTTAATAATGGTACCTCATCGACAATAAATCTAATAATTGATTGAAATTGAGAGACTTGTAGAATTAAAGCCACACAAAAACCACTAAGAAACAAAACTAGCAGACTAGTAAGACAAACACGCCCAAGCATCGTTGGTACGACCTTCGGCAATGAGGATGAATCACCAAAGAAAGCAGTAGAACCTGAGAGATGCAAAATGTAGTTGAAGAGCCACCCAAATAACAGCGCATAAGTCCAGCTTGCCACCATCGTCGATGTCGCTAGCTAGAAGACCGCATCACCATCAGCACAGGAATCCTACCGATCAAATGGATCATGCTTTGGATAGGATAAGTTTGTAAAATGAGATGTAACACAAAGTACAACCTCAAATCTCAATGGTAGTCATTTACGTGCGCGCGTGTGATTGATGTGTCAAAGCGCTTTTAGCTTTTCTCTTTAGTATATAATGTACGTACATGCTAATCAACTGTAACGTGTTGCATTAAGATATTTTCTGTACAATATATAATTTGTTGATGAAAAACCGAATGCTAATTTTACTAATTTTACTAATTTATGGTGTCACTATTCATTATTTATCGTGTTTTTTTCTTGATTATGGAAGGCGAAGCATGCATGTATTTAATTTATCGTGCTTTATTCTTGATTATGGAAGGCGAAGCATGCATGTGTATACAAAAAAAAAAAAAAATATATATATATATATATAATATGTATGCATTCACTAACATTGCCAAAGCAGTGGCATCCCGAAAAATAAGATATCCCAATCCCATTCTACGTACATATATATATATATATATATACATGTTTATGTTTCCAATTTCTTTAGTTGCCACATTGTAAAGTAAATATATTTGTAACATATACCACAGGACATAAATACATACATACATATATATAATAATATGTGTGTGTATTTATATATGATGATTGATAGATAAACCGTAGCCAAGTGGTTGCTAGCTGGCTTTCGTCATCACTCTTTTTTGTTTTATCCTTTTAAAGCCGTGCATGATTATCTCATCTTCTTAAAAGCCTTTGTCAAAACGTCTTTTCTTTCTTTTTCTTTTTCTTTTTTTTTTCTGGCTAAAAATAATGTTCTTTTTAAAACTGGCTTTCTTTTTGATGCAGAAAAATAGGTAGAATCAAAGCAACTAATTAATTACGACTCAACCATTGAACTGTAACAGAAAACAAAGGTCAAAGAATTCACATTTAGACTGCAATAAAAAGGATTTAGGTGGAATTAATGTGATAGCTTAGAAAACAAGATAAATCAAATGCTTAGAGAACAATATTGATAATAATATCAATGATTAATAGTTGATCACCCTTCAATTTCAAGGCACCATGGAGTCTGCATCTGCTCGATCAATACAGCCTGCATATATAAAGCTTAGTCTTTAGCGCTGATGTATATATATATAT